TCCCAAAGTGCTGGAATTATAGACGTGGGTCACCACACCTGATGACTTTTTAATGTATTTTTTAAAAAAAATATTGACTGGAAACATAGCAGTTACTGAACACCTACCATGTATTTATGAGCAGAGGAAAAAACAAGGCCCATGTGCATTTCTTTTGCTCAGTTGGATGATGTTTCTCTCTGCCCTCCCTCCCTCCCAACATCAGCATCTGTGGCTTCTCAAGGCATTGGTCATCCACAGGACATGGGGTTATAAATTTGTGTATTGATAAGAAAGTTTATTTCAGAATTTCTCATGTGATTCTGATCCAGTAGCCTATTTTCCCAGCCCAGTTGAAGATCATCAATTTTTATGTCTTGAGAAGAGGGTGTCTATATGTATATGAAATTGCCATCATTAGTTTATCACCATTATATGAATTAGTTGAAATGACTATTGGAACTTTAGTCCCAAAAGTAGACATTTGGGACAGATATGAAGCTCATGACATTGGGCCTAGATGGCTGTCACTTTTTGGCATCTTTAGCTAGGGAACAGTATAAGTTTTTCCAGATTTCTTGGAGATCAGAGGAATAGAGGGAGGTACTGAACGGAAGCTAAACAAAGGAGAACAAGAAAACACTGAAGGTTAACTATGCCGACCTCGTATTTTGTCTAGAGTCAGCTCAGATAAGTTGACCTAAAGCATAATTTTCCAGGGCAATATCTAGCGTTTTCTTGAGGCCGAAACTTGTACAAGTAAGTTATTGTTCTTTAGAAAAAGGGAGATAAAAACTAGAATTTGTATAATGGTTTATTAGGCTTCAGAACCCTTCTTGAGGCATCCTGGCAAGTTCTCCTGAAAAGGAAAGGTATTCAAAGATACTGTGTTGATCCCTCAAAACAGAAGTTCCCAACGGTTTTTCTTGCTGTCACTCAAGGAGTGGTGACATTGACCATCACAGTGGTCTTCTATGAATGTGTTGATCACATTCCAAGAATTCTATCCCTTTGCCTTTTAGGGAGGTACTAGTGATATTATCATAGGAATGGTTTTGGATATATCTTAACTTGAGTTTTTGTTAGTAACAAGTTAATAGCACAATGATCTTAAAAAATTGAAAGCAGTTTCTTTTATATTTAGACATTTATTACTTTCATAATTAATTTATCTGACAAACAGTATCAAGAAGATTGTGTTTTTGAAAACAACCTTATAGATCTTTAGCAAGCAACATTTTTCATTTATATGTGGAATGCTCTTTGCAGTTGTCCATCAATGTTTGGTTTGATAACCCCCATTATAATTCTTCATAAGCTCAGAGAAGACATCTCTAGTGCTATATGAAATATAAATGATTCCTGGTAAATGGATGGGAATTTAGACTGTCAATTTAATAACATATATACCCACATTTATAGTATAAATAGAGGTGAGACTACATTAAGAACATATTAATGTTAAATTTATGTATGTGTTCACTTGAGACACTTCCCTGGAGCTTAAGGTGGTGTCTGAATTGTAAAAATGTGTCATTCAAATTGTAGCTAGCCAGAACTTTATGGTTCTAGGTTCCCCTGTGGTTTTCTTTGTATTAAAAGGTATGCTTGCTTTTGAAATATGGAAGGTGAAAATGGAGTTGATCTCCCTTTATATTGACCATAGTAAGCAAAGAGGAAATCTTTAAAGTGTTTTTATATATTTAGGATGTACAAGTAAAGATGCATTTCTTACATGCATAAATTGTGTGGTGGTAAAGTCTGGGCTTTTAGTTTACCCATTCACCCCAATAGTGATCATTATACACAAAAGATTATTTTCAACCCTCACCCTTTCTCCCCTCCCACTTTTTGGAGTCTATTATCCCGTTCCTTTTTTTTTTCTTTCAAACAGAGTTTCACTCTTGTCACCCAGGCTGGATTGTAATGGCGTCATCTTAGCTCACTGCAACCTCCGTCTCCCAGATTCAAGCAATTCTCCTGCTTCAGCTTTGTGAGTAGCTGGGATTATAGTTTTCCGCCACCACACCCAGCTACTTTTTATACTTTTAGTAGAGAAAGAGTTTCACCACGTTGACCAGACTGGTCTCGAGCTCCTGGCCTCAGGTGATCCACCTGCTTTAGCTTCCCAAAGTGCTGGGATTACAGGGCATGAGTCACCTTTCCTGGTCTATCCCATTCGTTATGTCTATGTGTACCCATTGTTTAGCTCCCGCTTGAAAGTGAGAACATACAGTATTTGACTTTCTCTTTCTGAGTTATTTCACTTAGGATAATAACCTCCAGTTGCATCGAGGTTGCTGCAAAATACATGATTTGATTCTTTTTTATGGCTGGATAGTACTATATATATATATATATATATATATATATATATATATATATATGTGTGTGTGTGTGTGTGTGTGTGTGTGTGTGTGTGTGTGTATGCCATTTTCTTTATCTGGTCCTCTGTTGATGGACACTTAGTTTGATTCATTATGTTGCTGTTGTGAATAGTGCTGTAATAAACATGAGTGTGGGTATCTTTTTGATAAGGAAATCTCCATTTAAATACGTATCTTCTCAATTTATGTGTAAATATAATTATATGTAAAAAAATTGCTAATATAAGTCACAGACTGTTGAGATTTGTCTTTGGGAGCCCTTACAGAGGCCTCAACTTTTAGTGAAACTGCTTTATGGGGTGGGTTCCATTTTGTCACGTGACACTCAGTGAATGCTTTATAAATAATCTGATCATTTATTTGGAGATTGTATTTTTATGGTACTCTAGTATGCTTTTGGATTTTTTCCCAAGGTGATTTCTAGGTCTTTTCCTTTCAATCAGCTGTTGTTTGTGAACCTTCTTCTTACTAAAATAACATTCATTATTTTGTTCAATAAACATTGATGCTAGGCACTGTTGTATGAATGGGATACAAAGGTGAATAAGGCACTTTTTCTACTCATGTGTGTTCATGGGCTTTCATGTGCCACAGCCTCTTTAGGTAACCCTGCCTCTTGAATCCCTTCTCTTCTCTTTTGGTTGTCTTGAATCTTCCTGCTTTTTACTCCTTCAATCCAAAGCTGAATCGCCTTGATAGAGTTCCAAATTTTAAAAAATTATAACTTTTGTATTTAGCCTGGCATGGTGGCTCACGTTTATAGTCCCAGCTACTTGGGATTCTGAGACAGGGTTTTGCCACGTTGGCTAGGCTAGTCTGGAACTCCTGGTCTCAAGTGATCCACCTGCCTCAGCATCCCAAAGAGCTGGGATTTCAGGCATGAGCCACTGTGCCCGGCCTGTCAATATATTTCAAAGTTCTGCCCTATTGTGAATCATGAATTTAAGAAATAGGTACTCAGTATTCTAATAGAGATCATTATTATACATACCCCTCTAGTCTTTTTACGCACAAAAACACATACACATCCATCTATCTAATTGTCTTAAAATAGTTATCTTAAAAAACAGGACCTTGTAAAACATACTGCTTTGTAACTTTCTCCCCATGTAGTTGTAATATATTTTAACGATCTTTCCAAGTACATATTACACATCATTATATTTCACTGTGGTTATATTAGAATTTGAATTGCCAAATGCCTCTTGTTGAATAGTTAGGCTGTTTCCAATTTCCTCATTATGAATGCCTTTGTACACTTGCTATTATTTATCTGCAGTAATTTTAAAAGAATGAAATTGGTGTATTCAAGGATATGTATAATTTAGAGGCAATTGATACATATTGCCTAATTGTCCTACAGAAAAACTATTATTTTAGAAAAGCATATTAAAGTTCCAATTTGTACTCTAATGCCATGTTATCATTAAAAAAGTGACATTTTGTTGGATGAAAAAGATGATCTTGTTTTAATTAAAAAAAAATACTAGTGAGGTTAAACTTTCCCTCCAGTTCCATCCAGGTTGCTGCAAAATACATGATTTCATTCTTTTTTATGACTGGGTAGTATTCCATGGTATATATATATATATGCCATTTTCTTTATCTAGTCCTTTGTTGATGGATACTTGGATTCCTTATGTTTGTTGCCTTATGTTGTAAAAGAGTACAAACAGAAAATATGCAAAATAAATATTAATGATTAATTTAATGATATAAATATTGATGATGTTTATTTTGTACATTTTCTGTTTGTACTCTTTTACAATTTTTGTTCTGTTAGGCTGTTGAACTTTTTGACTTGATAGAGCTATTTCATTTTTTAGAGACAGGGTCTCACTCTGTCTGTTGACTAGTAGTTGCTTGGGAATTACTGAATTATTGAATTACTTTTTCTCACTACTGTAAGAAATTCTTGTATGCTAAATTCTTAGATAAATGTATATCCATTTCTGAACTTAGTATTTTTTTTTTTCTGCTACCTTGGCCATCTATTCATGTACTAGCAGCTCACTGTTCAAATTATTATAGTTTTGTCATACTTTTTTTTTTTTTTTTCTGAGATGGGAATCTCTCTCTGCTGCCCAGGCTGGAGTGCAGTGGTGGAATCTTGGCTCGCTGCAACCTCTACCTCCCAGGTTCAAAAGATTCTTATTCCTCAGCCTCCCAAGTAGCTGGGATTACAGGCATGAGCCCCTGAGCCTGGCTAATTATTTTGTATTTTTAGTAGAAATGGGGTATCATTCTGTTGGCCAGGCTGTTCTGGAACTCCTGGGCTCCAATGATCCACCCGCCTCAGTCTCCCAAAGTGCTGGGATTACAGGTGTAAGCCACTGCGCTCAGCCTTGTCATGCATTTAAATAAACATTGGGCTGCTTGGCACTGTAGTTTATGCCTGTAATCCCAACATTTTGGGAGGCCAAGGCAGGAGGATTGCTTGAGATCAGGAGTTCAAGAGCAGCCTGGGCAACATAATGAGACTCAACCTCTACAAAAAAAAGTTTAAATTAGCCTGGTATGGTGGTACATGCCTGTAGTCCCAGTTACTCCAGAGGCTAAGGAAACAGGGTCGCTTGAGCCCATGAGGTCAAGGCTATAGTGAGCTGTGTTCATGTTCACACCACTATACTCCTGCCCAAGCAATAGAGCAAGACCTGTCTCAAACAAATAAACACACATGCATACATACATACATACATACATACATTAGATTAAATCTTGTCACACTTTCAAAGTTTTTCCTGGCTATTTTTATTTTTATTTCAGAATAACTTTTAAAAAATATGTAAAATTCTAGAAAAAATTCTATTGGTATTTTGTTTGTAATGATGTTGAGTATATACACAATAGGGGTTGAATGGACACCTGACAATGTTAACTTTTTTAGATGGTTTAGTACAAAAAACTAAGGACCTACTGTGTGTAAGATGTTTAGACACTGGAGATACAGCATTAAAAAGATAAGGACCACCATCCTTTATCTCGACAAACTTTTATAATTGCGAAGGATTAAAAGTAAATTTTTTCAGATTCACATTTTAGAATTATTGCACCGAAAGCAATGAAGAGAGGATTTGAGCAGAGACGTACTGGAAGGAGAGAAAACAGTCAGAGGCTGCATACGTTCTGAAGGCCAGGTCAGAAGTGAACTGGGGGTGGATCTCAAAGGTTATTTAGAAGTGAAGTTGACAGGATATTAGGATGCATTGTGGCCAGAGAGAAGTCTAAGGATGATTGTGGTATTTTGGCTTGGTCAGCTCAGTGGAAAATATTGCCATGCTCAGAGATTGAAATACAGGAGGAGCCACGCATTTCCAAAGGGCTATGTTAGGTTTGGTTCTACATGTAGCTATTAATGGGATATCCAGCCAGAAATGTTAAGAAAGCAGTGAGACCACTTGGTCTGGCCCTCAGGAAAGTATTCTTCCTTGGAGATACAGACACCTGGCAGAATTTGTTGCATGAGATGGGAAGGCCTGTGTCAGAGGCCAGACTGGTTGAAGCCAGTTCAGAAGATGAAGAGGTAAGGAAGTGTCAGGGTCCAAGAGAATTCAAAGGGTGCCCAGAGGACAGGTAAGGTAAAGACTGAAAGATATCTTTTGGGTTAACCACGAAAGAGTCGGTCTTTTTGCTGGGGTGGTTTAGGTGGAACAGTGGTGATAGAAGCCCCATTGCAGTGGGAATGAGGTTGAAATATGAGAAAGTGATTTCATTATTATCATCAATTATGTTATTTCTATCACTGAAGAAACTTTGGAATTCCTTCTAAAGAGAATAAGGAGGCTAGGTGTAGTGGCTCACGCCTATAATCCCAGCACTTTGGGAGGCCGAGGCGGGTGGATCACAAAGCCAAGAGAGAGAGAGCATCCTGGTCAACATGGTGAAACCCTGTCTCTACTAAAAATACAAAAAAATTAGAGCTGGGCATGGTGGTGCATACCTGTAGTCCCAGCCACTCGGGAGGCTGAGGCAGGAGAATTGCTTGAACCTGGGAGGCAGAGGTTGCAGTGAGCCAAGATCGTGCCACTGCCCTCCAGCCTGGGTAACAAGCAAAATTCCATCTCAAAAAAAAAAAAAAAAAGAGAATAAGGAGCCCAGTTGTTTTGCTGTACCTTCAAATCTATGTTTTTTAGATAGAAAATTTCTTATTTATCCACTGTTTACTCATACTAAGTACTTGGCAATGTGATAAGTTCTGGGACTGAGTTGATATGATAGGAATTGATATGCCCCCATGTCCTTGCAGGACTTGACTCTCTGGCAGGAGATGTTAGACAAATAACTATACAATTATATATAGCAGTTGTGGTAAGCTCTATAAAGACAGATTAGATGGTACAATATTGCTTATAATACAGTGGATAGGATAGAGGAGAGATCAAGGACGCCTTCCTTGAGTAAGTGAATTTGATCTGAGATGGATTTTCTAGGAAGAGGGAAAGGCCCTGAGGTGAAATGAAGTTTGCAGCTGATTAAACCAATGAGGCATGAGATGAGATCAGAGAGGCCCAGACTAAATCTGTCTAGGTTGTTGGTCATTTGAAGGGTTTTGGATTTTGTTCTAAGAGTTACGATAAACCACTGTAACACTTTTAAATAAGGGGATGACTCGATTGGATCATTAGAATGTAAAGTTCTTGAGTGTAGTGATTTTTTTAAATTTTTGTTCACTGACCTGTCCGTAGTGTCTAACAGTACCTAGTGCATTGTATGTAGCTCAATAAATAATTTCGAATGAATGCTTTTTTTAAAAAATGAGTGAAACATTTGGTTATACAAGAAGTCTTCATCTGTTCTTTCATGAAAACATTGCAGTGTGGGGCGAAAGGTTATGAAGTCCAAGTGGAAGATGGTGGTGACTTGTATGCTGGTGGTGGCAGTGGAAATGGAGAAGCACATGGAAATGGAGGAGATAGAATAATTTGATAGTGGCAAGTGTGGGAGAGGAAGTTATTTGGGATATTTTATACATGAACAGCACAGTATCGTTGACAAAATTGAACTTATTCTGCCCTTTTTCCAAATACCTCTTCCTGCTGGATTTTGGCTCTGGTTTTTGACATCACCATGCACTTCTCAGTTTCTGCTTATTCAAGGGCATCTTACTTGTTACTGAGCTCTGTGAACTTGAGCAATACTTACAGATATCTCCTGAATTTTCCCCCTTTCTCCATTCTTACAGCCATTTCCATACTGGATTCCTGTTTTATATCTTGCCTAGACTGTTGCTATCCAGTACTCCTGGCCTGTTACCACTTTTATCCTATTCATGCTCTGCTCCAGATGTACTCACACTATAGAAATGAGCATGCCATTTGGCTACCTAAAATCTTAGTGCTTTTTTATTGCCTATAATGTAAAGCCTAAACTAACAGTACTTTTTCTTCCTAGAGTACATTCAGTTAAATTCCAGAAGTATTCATTTATACTCCTGCTGTTTGCTTGTCCATGATTTAACCACAGGTACATACTCTGGGCACCTTCCTGATAGTCTGTCTTGATTTCCTAACTACTGTCGTTAACTGACTCTACTGGGTGTCTGTGCTACTATTTTTCTGTAGCAGCTCTCTGAGCCTTCTCTATAACCTTCTTTAACCTTGGCAGATAAGACAAATGTTGTTAGAATAATAATTGTCAGTTCTTCAAGATGATAAAAAGTTTGGATCACTAATAACTTATTTTTGTTTTTTTTTTTTTTGTTTTTTTGTTTTTTTGTTTTTTTTATTTTTTACTTTCCAGAATGAACTACAGTTTGGCATCAGGGTGTTAAGATACATTCTTGTGTTCAGTTTTGGGGCCCTTGTGATAACATGCATCTTTCTCTTCTCTTTGGATAAGCAGGAATGACTTCTGTTATTTTGGCAATTTAGTTTTTCTTCCTAAGTATTGTTATCTTTAAGTAGACATTTGCTATTTGTCTGTGCCAGGGACTTTAAACTTTTCTTAAGGACCCTTATTTTTAAATGAGATCTTAAAATACCAGAGTGTAAGTCAGATTAACCCAGAACTACCCTATTTTAAGTGAAGTAGTTAGATCCCAGGCTGCTGCTTGATACCCACTTGGTACCTTACGCACCTCCAGGAAGTGGTGATTGGAACAAGAAACAGCAGTCACTGGAATAAAGGTGATAACAGCTGTGGAAGGGATGACGTTTCTGTGAAGGACTTAGACGTACAAGTAATGCCTGGTGTCCACCAGTATTCCTATGACAGCAATTCTTTCCTTACTTCATGAAATGAGTATGATTTTTCTATCCAGAACCATTATTTGGGTACTTGTACCTGTTAATTTTTGTTGTCTGTTTTTTTGTTTGGTTTTTCTTTTTTTTTTTTTTTCTTTAGAGAGAGATAGGGCCTCACTCTGTCACCTGTCACCCAGGGCAAAGGTGCGGTGGCACAGTTGTAGCTCACTACAGCCTTGAACTCCTGGGCTCAAGTGATCCTTTTGAGTAGCTGAAATTACAGGCACATGCCACCATACCCAGCAAACTATTTCTTAAATTTTTACAATTTCATTTTAAAAATTTTATCTATTTATTTGTTTTCAGACTAGGTTATAAGACTGGCTAATTTTTGTATTTTTTGTAGAGACAAGATTTTGCCGTGTTGCCCAGGCTGGTCTCAAACTCCTGGGTCAAGCAATCCACCTGCCTCGGCTTCCCAAAGTGCTGGGATTATAGGTGTGAGCCACCATGCCTGGACCTAATTTTTTTTTTTTTTTTTTTTTTTTTTTTGTAGAGAAAGGGACTTACTATGTTGCCCAGGCTGGTCTCTAGCTCTTAGTCTCAAGTGATTGTCCCACCTTGGCTTCCCTAAGTGCTGGGATCACAGGTGTGAGCCACCATGCTGGCTTATTTGTTAATGTTTACAGTGCTTTCTGTTTTCTTGGTGGTTTACAGGTCATTTCTTTCTAAAAATGAGCAAATTGGTTTAGACTAGGTCCTGCTTCTGCTTCTCAGTATTTTACCTCCATTTGAATGGGTATATGCCTTCACCATGTATCCTATTTGCCTTATTCTCTTTTGCCACACTTTAGGTAACTAAAGAATTATTAACATGTCTCTAGCTGTTTTGGCAGAAACTAACCTTTCTTCCTTCCTCCCTCCCTTCCTCTCCCCTCCCTTCCTCCCTCCCTTCCTACCTTCCTCCCTCCCTCCCTCCCTCCTTTCCTCCTCTCCACTTATTCCATCCATCCATCCATTCATCCATCCATCCATCCATCCACCCACCCACCCACCTATCCATCCATCATCCATCCATCCATCCATCCATACATACATACAATGCCTAGTATTTCAGGTACTTTTCTAAATGCTACAGAAGGTGGAGCTAACAAAACAGAAAAATCTCTATTTATGAAGCTGACATTCTGGATGGGGAGACATTCAAAGATAAGATAAATGTGCCTTGCATAGCTAGCTGAATTAAGTGCTGTAGAGGAAGGGAAGGGGAATTCATGTTGTCCCGGTATGGAAATGAGCCAAACATTTTTTTGAAATTAGTTTTTCAGAAACAGTGATAGATTGGCATAGATTTATCTTATTCTCTTGCCTGGCTTCTCTCTTAATCCAAGTTCACACCCATTAAAGACATAGGGTTGTGCTTCAGTCTGTCGTCTCTGATTCTGGACCAACTGCTGATTGGCTTATCCCAGGACTGAGCCCATGTTCTTGTCCTCACTGGCATGGTCACCTTGACGTTTACTGATCACTTGGACTGAGAATGCCTGGTGACTCACTTCTTCAGAGCTCGTAGCTTACATATCTTTGGGATTCAAACTTTTGTTTTTCCTATCTCAACATCAAATGCAGAAATCTAGCATATAAAGCAGGTGAAAAGATGTGAATGGCATGCAAGGTGTTTAGGATGAGGCCCCAGGTGGTCCTGCTCCCACCCCTTCCGGCTGCCTTGTCATCTCCATGGACTCCTTCCCCAGAGCTATTATTTCTAGGATAACATTTCAGAGTCATTATTCCAGGATGGCATTGTCCTTTTGTGATGACAGAAGTGTTTTATAACTGAGCTTTCTAACATAGTACCATCAGGCACATGTAATGAATATGCAGCTAGTGTGACTGAGAAACTAAATTTTAAATTTTATTTAATCTTAATTAAAATTTAAATAGTCACATGTGGCTAGTGGCTACTTTATTGGAAGATTCAGTTTTAATGTAATGTTAGCTCCAGATTTAACATTTACTAAGTGCAGTTCATATCCCAGTTTTCCAGATCATTAATAAAATGACAATAGTTTTAGATGATAATGGACTCTAAGAAGGCTGGATTAAGACCTGACTTATAACCTTGGGCAAATTTTTCAATCCCTCTGGGCCTCAGTTCCTTTTTTTATAAAGTGAGCAAATTTATAGTACCTTTTCATAAGAGATTTAAAGTGAGATAAAGCATGTCCCACATTCGGCACAATGCCTAACCCTGATTTTAGGTGATTTATCCTAATAAGAGTTTTTGTTGTTGTTGTTGTTTATTGGTGTTTACTGGTTTATTTGGCGTGTAAAAGATAAAATTTGCCCATTATAGAATGGAGGAAAACAACAAGAAGAAAATAAAAATAATCGGTAATCCTGCCATCCATAGGCAAAGTGACAGAAAACTTGTAGAATGTGCAAAAAAGTATGTTTTTGGTTTACAATATGCTTTTCTCTTTGTTTTGAATGTGTGCATATATGACTACACTGACACTACTGGTGTAAAACAGTTTTTAGAGACTATAGATCATATGTGTATAAATTGCCTTATAAGCCCTTTTTTTTAAATATATACTAAAAAGCCTTAGGAAATATGTTGTGATTACTAAGAAGTATTAGAAAACTGATGAATTGAATAATTTGTAGTATTTTTCTAGATTTATCTTTAGCGATTAATTTTTCTAGAATGTAAAAATTATTTTGGAATTCTTTTTGGATGATGGGAGGAAAAAAGAGGATACATATATGATTTCATCTTGAGTTAAAGCTGTGTGTCAGACACTGTGCTAAGTGCTGAGACTATAAAAACAAATAAAATGTCATCATTGCTCTTAAGTAAATTGTGGCCTAAGTACTGTGTGGTCAGTGCTGCAAGAGGGATCTAGACATGTAATATGAGAACCTGGGACAAACCCAGCCAGCTGGGGATAGAAAGGTTGTCGGCAAAGGTTTCTAGTTGAAGTGACACCTGAAGGGAATTTTAAAGGAATAATGGACTTAATCAGGCAGTGGTGAGGTAAAGAGTATTCAAAGAAAGGGATGCAGTGAGTATGAAAGCTGGAGTGACCGGGGGCATTTGGAGAACTGCAGCTATCTAGTATGGAGGTCAGAGGTGGGGACGGGTTGGATGACAGAAATGAAGATGTGTCTGGAGCATTCGCAGGAGCCAGATGGGTCACAAAGGTCTTTCTATGTCCTGTTAAGGAACACAGACTTTATCCTCTAAAGTTATAAGAGATATTTGAAGATTACAAGAGGAGAGAGTCAGGATCTCTGGTCACACCATTGGCATACATAGAAAAATAACTGGATATGGTTTGGAGAATGCATCAGAGATGGTTGGAAGCTCATTCGGTCATTCAGTGACTTGTTGAATAGGTCAGGCAAGAGATGGTAGATGATTCAGGTTGTAGAAATGAGTAGCCCTCTGGAAGTTTGGGTCTAGAATTT